TACTGTATTTGGGGGAGAAGGCAAGGTTGGTTGGATATTGGCTTTGTCTCCATTAACCTGGAGCACGGTGTTAAAGGATCTGTTTGTGGAGAGAAAATGACAGGGACTCGGGCTGATGAGGCTGGACGGAGACAGTTAAAGGCCCCTCGCTGCATGCGATAATTAATAAATAAAATACCAGGGGAGCCCCTGCCATGCCTTCGTCTATGACAGGGGCTGTCTCCAGTGCGCTAAAGCATTAAATGACCAATTTCTGTCAGACTAACTTCCACCACGCTCCCTCTCCCTCTTTCTTACGCTTGCCCTCTTGTCTCCACCAGGCCCTCCCCTCCCCCCACCATTCCCTCCCTCGCTTCCTCGTTTTTTCTGAAGTGGGTCTACTTTGCTCTCTTTGCACTGAGTTTTTCAGCGACTGATGGCTCTAGTTCATTTCTGCTGAATTAATTGGTCCCTGAATGAATTCTGTTGACAGGGCAATTCATCATGTGTTTGGCCTGACAGTGACTGGGTGCTGGGTGGGGTGGTGGAGGAGGCTGGAGACGGAGGAGCGAGTGTGTCAGCATGTGTGTGCGTGTACAGGGGTGGGTTTGGAAGAGTGGGGGGTGTAGTTGGGACAGTTTGGGGGAGCCAGTCGAAGGTTGTGGGGGTTATCTGCTCTGAGCTTCCTCTTCTTCACTCCAAGTCGCTTCTTCATTTTCATCTGTCTTGAGATGCAGACGGAGGAGAGTACCAGTGCTCATGCTGAACTGTCTTCCCAAAACAGTTAGGAATGAAACACATCAACCCCCCTCTACAGGATGAGCATCTGTCAGACAGAAAACTTTCTCTCAGCTTGAAGAGGCCACGCAGGTCAGGGCTACCCTGTTGTACTCATATTGGCCTGTTGTTGCACCTCCACACACTTCCTCCCCAACCTAAAGTCCCTCTTTACCATTTTACATGCACACACCAACACAAAGCTTCCACCTCAGAGCTCTTCACCCGTTCCTGAGAGTGACATAATCAGGTATCAGGGCATATTTAGTGCTTAATTACACTATGTGTTACTCAGTGGCCACTCAAAACGATAATTTAGCTCCTTGAAGGGAAATTGCTCTGCACTGCTGACTGATCTAACAAGGACGAGAATGGTATAATAGCACATAGTTGGCAGATGAGGCCCGGGTTGAGAAAAGCAGCAACAGCTCTTGGAGTGCTCATTATTCTAATTGTGAACCACGGCGAAGCGCAGGATGCACATGGAGTCTGAGAAGCCTCTGAGCTTGAACGTGGTAGGAGACCTCTTTAGAATGTGTTGAGTCAATCAATGCTCACTCATTACAAACATCACAAAGTCATGTTCCTGTCGCCTGGATGGTCTCACCCGCCAACTGGGAAAATAAGCTCATAATCAGGCTTGGACTCCTTGGTTCTTCCTCTGATGGAATGAGATGATGAGATTTTTCTCTTTTTTTTTTTTCAGATAAGCATTCTCACAACCTAGCTTATTTTTATTTTTTTAACTCCTTTAGAGACATGCTGAGAAATCCACCGTTGATTTGCTGGCTTTCAGTTTGAGTGGCCCTGACTGGTTGAAGACCTAGAAATCTATAATTCTTCCATTAAATGAATGCCTCATACATAGCATACAAATGCTGTTGGTTTATTTTGGGAATGCTGGAAGTTTTTCAGAAGATTTTGTTTAAGCACGTAGAATGGCTTTTAGGAAAAGCAATCCTAGATGCTAAATTATGTTACCATTTTGTCTTCATTTGAAAATATTAGTAAAACACTTACTTGCAGCAACTGCTCTACAAAGAGTGGCATGATTTTTTCTTTACAAAATTAATGATTGCTCACAGCACAAACAATTTTTACTTTGGATTTTATTGCTATTGGAATTGGCTAGAGTCAGGTTCGGCAGTCAAAACAAGACAAAAAAGAGAACGGAAATCTGCAACGAAATACTAATCATCTCTAAACTCCTTGCATCTTTATACAGAGGCAAAATCCAGAGTAAGAGCTCCAGGGAAGCTTTCACATCTTATACGCTCTCTTTACATAAATGACAAGACCCATACATCTTTTTGATTTAAAGATGCAACGCTGGATTAATGCAGTGCTTTGTCTCCCTAACACAAATTCATTTGGGATTAACAGAGTTAGCGAAGACAGCGTTGTGAACAGCGCTGCTCCCATGCAGCCACTAATTAAAGCTGCTTCTAATGAGGGCCCGTTGATTGACACGGGAGGGCTGGCCTCTCCCCTCACTTGCATCAACTATGACAACCACATGATGAGGCTGATGACAGGCTCCCATGCAGGCGGATGACAGGACGTCACAGCCAGACCACCGGCGGTCCTCGTCTCTGAACGGTACTGTATGACAACACCAGACTCATCAAGTCTTGCACTGTATAAGTTTAAGCGAAGAATGGTTGTTGTGCTGAAAACTGAAGCCTTGGTTTAAGTTACTCTTTCAGCTGACCAATGTCTCAAGAATTTTGTGAAGGACAGAAAGGAGTGAAATGTAAAAGTATCTGTAGAAGTTCCATCTTTCGCACGGTCAGATATTTGATCACCTTTGCATTTGGTCTTACTCTGAAGAAGAGGTGGTGGGAGGCTTTCCCCTGCTTTCAAAACAAAATATGGTTTGGGAAACTTTCTAGAACAAATAGTTTCTTGCAATAATCCTAGAACATTTTGATCCTCAGTCGAATTTTACCAAATGCCAAAAAAGGTCAAGGAATACGAATAGTTGGTTTGCGAATGGAAAGTTTAAAATGTGGAATGCATTTGCCACGTTGAGCCCATGCATACAATTAGGTCTCAGGTGCTCTAACAAATTAATGAGTTTTGATCAAAACCACTAACTTAAAGTTCTGGCAGTATGTCCCAGTCATCATGCTGTTAGAAGGTAAATCTCAATTTACATTGAGACATGTTTAATAAATTGGGCTTTGTGAACTGCTGTTGAGCTGGATGTCAAGATCCTGACCAGGAGACTAAGAAATTACCAAACCAGAGAATGATTCCTATGCAGCATGGATTTACCTCATGTCTGAAAATTGATTTTGCAGCTTTGAAACTTTTGTCTCCAAGTTAAACGGTTTATAATTCATATGGACTCAATTCATTCATTAGCAAATGAGGGGTTCACCCACACAGGAGCCTACAAACTAGCCTGTGCTCAGAATAGTGACATTCCCTTTTTGCTGCATGCCACTAAAGGTTGTCTCCACCCAAATTTGTAAATACAGTAAAACTAAAGCCAAATGAGATTATATATATATAAAAAACACACGGTGTGCATGTGTGTGTTTGCTACATATTGGGTCATGTGAATATACAGACAAACCTATATGTAAATGTACTTAGCATGATCACAGAGACATGCTTGTGTAAATGTATAAATTCATCCTCTAATAGGATGCATGGTTTCTTCATAAAAATTTTAATGTTGTGTATTTTCAAGTGGATTTTGACAACTAGTCAAAATTGTTGCATATAGTCTGTTTCTTATTTGATGCACTTTGTCTTAATATTCTCTTTCTTGGGTTAAGTTTTTAATATTTTTATTAATATTTAATATTGATTCAGGCTGGTGCAGCCTGAATCTTAGGTGATTCAGGCTGCACCATATGGCAGGGAAGCAAACACTGGGTATCAGCTTTGACTGTAATTGGGCACGTTCATATTTGTGTTTATCAAAATGTTCATTAATGCACAATATTTCCCTTCAGCAAATAAAAAAAAAACAACTCATAAAGTTACTAAACAAAGTTTGATCCACTTTAGGAAGATTTAACATTTTAAGCAGTCTTCAATCCAGCCGATTGATGTCTGAAGCTTTTATATTTTCAACGCTTTCCCCAAGACTGTTTCCACCTGCTAGCTGAGGCATATTTTTGCTGTATAAATTATCAGTGACAGACATGAATCACACCAGAGAGGCCAAGCTGTGGGGCATCAGCGGGCCAGGCTGACAATGAGGGTGAAGTGTTTGAGTAAGTCTTGCGCGTGGCCCCGTTGGCCCCATGGCAGGGGCCTCTCTATGTCGGTTTGAGAAGCCCCAAGGATGACAGGTGCTTTTCGTAATGCCTAACTGATGAGAGCCAATCAGTGCGCCGCCTTCTGCCTGGTGTGTGTGTGTTTCCTCTGCTGTTGTTGTCATCTGGACCTGCTAAAGTAAAGATGAGCTTGACTGACAGATGCATCCGGGTTCACAGTTTATTGGTTTCTCAGAGAGAGCCAGATATGCCAATTTAGACAGGGTAGTGACAAAAAAGTTCCCATCTAAATGGAATAATTTTACCACTGGGAATTCTCAGCTGGGGGAAGAGGAAACGCATGTGTGTGTGCATGCGGGTGTGTATGTGTGTGTGTGTCTGTGTGTTTTATCTTTTAACAAGCCCTGAATGACAAAACATAGGACAGTTAGGGGCTGACAGAAGCAGCAGCTTTTGATGCTTCACAGGGGATCCATGAAATAAACAATAGGCAGAGGAAAGCAGAGAAATTGAATTACAACTGACTGCGTTTGTGCGTTTCAAGAGTGAGAGTGCGGCCCCAGCAGTAGCGATGGCGGCGGCGGCGGCAGCGGGCTATGGTGGGATGAAACCAATGCATCATTAAATAGACTGGAAGTCAGAATGCTCTCCTGCCTTCCCAACTATCCTGCTTCTTTGTTTAGTTCTCTTCTGTCAGCCCATATTCACACCCACGTCCATAAAACTATGTTGTTCTTTTTACGATTGACATGGACTAATTAAACAGAAATCATCATTCACATTGTTCCTTCTTACTGCCTCACAAAAAACACACTTCAACATCATGCCATGAAACTTTGCGCATTTCATATTTTACAGTAATAATCTATGAGTGCATTCTCGTCCTGACTGTTCATAAAGCCAAACGTCAATAAGCCCTGAGGAGAGACTCTTCCTCCCCACACCCGCTTCAACCTTGATCCTTGAATCACTTCTTATGGGGTTAATAATGAGCACACATCAAGTCAACAATGGACATATAAAAGAATTTATTTCTCATGTGCACAAAAAAAAAAAGAAGAGAGAATTGAAACAGAACTGAAAAGGAACAATGATTGAGGCCACGAGGCTTTCCTTATAGATTTTCATCAGATCCTTTTAATGTCCGTGACACGTGTCCTGTATCATCTTTTACAGCAGCGGGTGACCCGGTCCAGCAGAGGTTCTCCATGTCCGAGAGGAAAGACCAGGTTGTTACATTTTCAGATATGCAAATCCCAAGTGCAATTTGTGGAAGATTGCTTTCAGATTGAGCGCTGTTCTCTTCTTTCTTGGTTCTCTTCCTTACAGCAGGTTTTAGCTTGGTTGCCCATTGTTAATCATAGAACAGAGAGATGGTGGACAGTTTTGTGTCTGGGGATTCTGTGTTTCTGCACAAGGAGATGATTACATCTACAAACAGCAAACAGGATGACATCTTTGATTGTTACCCAGGACTTCTTCGTGAAAGGGAAGCAAAAACAATTAAAGGAAGAAATGATTTCTCTCCACGAGTTGTTTGAATCCTTTAGTTAACCTTTGTACTGTTCTCCATGGGGACCGGTTATTTTGAGCCCGACAACAAAACAGCGGCAGAAAGCCATTCAACTTATTGCATAGTGACATAAAACACCATCATGACAACAAATCAAAGAGGAAAAAAAAGAGCAAAAACGACAAAAGACAACCTATGTGGATGTTAGCATCTGAAACCTGCCACTGCTATATAGCCATAGGTTATACTTTCCTCAGAGCAGAACATCACACTGAGACACAAATGTAATGCACGTTTTTCTTTTCATTTTTTTTCTCTTTTTTCATGAGCTTCAGTGTGTTTATCTACAAAGGGAGCTGGTACATTAGTACGATACTGCAGCGGTGTTTCTGTATGATGTTATATATTTACAGAGACAAATTGTCTTCACATTATTCACACATCTTTCTAAAAAGCAGCACTTAGTTTGCAGCTGTTGGAATATTAAGCCACTGGATTTCACCTTCCTCGCATGGATCATGTCGTTCACCTGTCTCGGCGTACATGTTGAGTCTTGACTCATTTATAAGATAATACTGAAATATTAAACTTACTGTAAATAAAATATTAAATATCAAACTAAGTCTTTGGCAAATGTGGTAGGAGGAGTACATTCACAGAATATTCTCCCCCAAAACAAACAGTCAAACAAAAACAAATGCTCGATTTCAGGCTCTGTGAAGAGGAAAATATGACTTCTACCAAAGAGGTGTAAGTTAAGGTTGACAAAACAAGCTTGTAAGGCAGTTATTGAAGCTAATTTATGGTTATTCTTGTCACAACTGCATCATCTTTCTAAGCTTTGCGGGCATCTTGTGGTTTTACTTCTGCAACTGGATCAAGAGGCATCATTCAGCCAGAGAGCTCCAGAATGAATTGTTTGTGTGTTTAATTTAGCCATTAAACTGAGATTTCCAGGTAACTGTTCCTCAAAAAGAGTTGTTAGTGCAAAAAAGAGCAAAGGAACATGACAGGAAAAAAAAACAAAAAACAATCCAGAAAATCTTTGATAAGTTTGTTGACATAAAAACTTTGACAGGAAAATCCCTCACATTGTTGAAGTATTTAAAATCCTGACATGACCCTTATAAATGCATGGTCACCACACTTCTTTTTTTTTTTTTTTTCTTTTTTATACTTTGCAAAAGAATTTACATTTTTACATCTGATTGTTTGCCACAGGTGCGACGTTGCTCTGGGAATGAAGGATCGGTAAACATCGAAGGATGTGCTGATAGCTCAAGATGGGCCGGAGAAGAAGGACGACCGAAGGAATTATGTCAAAGCACCAGAAAAAAAAAGAAAGAAAAAAAGAAAAAAGGTTTGCTTGACTTTAAATGTGGAGAACCCATCTCTTTGAAGTGTAGAAAGCAGGCCCGCAACACTGGTGTAAGTTGCTACATTATCAATCTGTGGAACCACCATCAATCACTCCTGGACATGTCTCTTGAGAGAAGACAAAAAATACTGCAGTTTATTACATAAAGAGGTGTGAGGAATCATGAATAAAATAACAACAACAACAGCAACAAAAAGACAAAAAAAAAATAATTATAAATCCCACAAAATTTTTTCCACATGGTATTCTTCACACAGTTTTTTTCTTCAGTTTATATTTTATAATATATATATTTATAGATTCTATTGAAGTCATTCTGGAAATGTTCAAGCCTGTGAGGAACTCACAGGCTCCAATCTCCTTCGGGACCCTCCCCCTCCCCATTGCTCTGACCCACAATGCGTAAAAACAGCGGCAGCTCCAGCCTCGTTCATCCTTCGTCTTTATCGCATAAGTTGAAGAGGTCCCGCTGTTTCTCAGACAGGAACAACGTGGAGGTTGAAGCTCTGGCCTTGCAGTTTGCGCTGGTCTCCGGGGTGACTAGTGGCGGTCATAGGCAGTGGCAGCAGCGGGAGGCGCGGAGCCACGGGATGCGGCACTATAATAATAAGGGGAACCTGAAAGTTAACAGAAGAACGAGCCGTTGGAAACCGTTGGAAACATTATGCAGGACAACTGTCTCTAAAAGGAACAGCTTCTGCTGGTTTTAGTTGTTTATGAAAGAGCATAAAAAAACATTTAAATTTGACCAATTACAGTGCCTTGTACCTTGTCCCTGTATCTTTATTTTATTTTTTTTCACATTTTGTCCCATTACACTGTATATTAAGATTTGTGAAATGAAAGATATAATAGATCACAAGTATTTACAAATAAATGACAGTAAAATATGCTGAACATTATTCAACCCCTCTGTTGCACACTTTGCACACCTGGGGAATAAAACCTTTTCAAATTTTCATTTTTCATTCAAGTCTACTCAATAGGCTTCTCAAACATATGAATGTGATTTTGTATGTTTATAATTAATAAGGGGACTTGATTAAAATCAAGTTAATTGCAGGGTTGCTAATTTATAATTCACGACTCAGTGTTTGTACACACACATATACATTTACATATTAAGGCAAAATTTTCTATTCAAAAATAGTTTTTGCTGCTAAATTATTAAATAAATAGACATATAAGCTCAAAACCAAAGATATTCAGTATCTCTGCTTTCTTCTGCCTATTCTTTAAATCAATACAATCTATGTGATTAATTAATGGACATTAAGGAGTTAAATTTATTATCTCTCTTCTTCTGGAAGTTTAGCCTCCATCCCAATCTACAGCCTCCAAGATGTTAACCTCAGTAGGTTAACCTTTTTTAGTTTTGGGCTATCCATCCTGCCAGCAACTCCACCTTTCCTGGCCTTTCTGTAAAAAGAACAATTCCACAGCATGATGCTTCCATCGCTATGTTTCATTATTGATACAGTGAGTTCAAGATGTTTTGTTCAAGGTGCTTTTTTAGCCTCGTGTAACCAAAACTTCTTCTTCCACATGTTTTCTGTTTTCCTTGCCTGACCTTTTAGTTTAGGTGGGTGACCATGTATTGGCAGGTTTGCATTTGTGCCCCACTCTTTCCATTTTCAAATGATGATTGAACAGTACTTTTTTGGTCAATATACCACACTCACTTTTAAAGGTTGAGATATATTTTTAGAACCTGATGAGCCTTAAATTTATCCACAGCTTTCTTTCTCCTGCTTCATCTTTTCCTTGATGTTCTTGATGCTGTTTGTTCATTGATGTTCTCTAACTAATTTCTGAAGCCTTCATAAAACTGATGGATTTATACTGAGAACAATTTACACGCAGATGGACTCTACTTAATTGTCAAATGACGTTTTTAACTGACTGGATTTTATTTAGGTTTTCAGATTGAAGAGGCCCGTACATAACTGACCATCTTATCATACATAAAAAAAAAAATAAAAAATTGTCAAAAAAATAGAAAACCATTTTCCTTCTTTTACTTTTTGTCATAGTTTTGCACTACTGTATGTTGGTCTGTGGAACAAAATTCCAATCAACAGGATTTAGGTTCATTATTTTAAATTATGTAAAAGTTGAGTGTGTACACATACTTTAGCAAGGCACAGTAATAAAGACAAAGTCAGTGGATGTACCTACTCAGTAACGCTGGATTACTGAACCTCCAAGCCTCATTGTAGGTTGTGTATTGGGGATGAGAATAAGGGTTTCCAGAAAAGTCACCCCCTGGTGAAAAAACAGAGACAATCAGTCATTAGTGGAGATAACTGTGAACAGAAAAATATATGCATTTTGCTTAGTACAACTCATATATGTATTTATCATCCCATAGAGTCACTTCTGCTTGAGCAATCTTCTTTTTGAATTCAATTGTCTCTCCTCTGCTCTTTTAACTCTAAATCCAGGATTCTTGTCTGTCTGTTTAAACACTGATCCTTTTCTCGAGCACGTCGTAATACATTCAGGTTCTCTCTCTGTCTGTCATGTCCAGTTCGTAGGGATTGCAGGGTATCCCAGAGTGATGTCCAAGGTTTCCAAGTGTCTCTTCGTTGTAGGACCATAAAGCATGGCTGTTCCATCAGCACGCAGCTGAAAAAATGGGTTTTGCTTTTTCATTGTTTAGGGTCAGTCAGTAAACTGCTCAGAAGCAGAAAAAGTCCAAAGACTTATGGATATTGAAGGTATTTGTATTTTATTTTTGAAATAAGGAACATAAAATTTTGGCTCAACGTAATCTTCTTTGATAATTGGTAATGCACACGTTCCAGGTTGTACTGTCAAATCTGCAAGACTGTTTTGAGTGCTGCCTCCTGTGGTTTGAGTTGTGTATGTCTTTAAACAACAGAGGCAGTTGTGTCTTCAGCTGTTTGGACGACAGATTTACACACACCGGCAGCTATAGCATCCTCACCGCTGCTCTTGTAACTCGAGCTCGTCCCTGAGAGAGATAGTGATTTAAATATTTACAGGCCCTCTACGCCTCTGTGTTCTGACCCTTAACTGTTTGCTGTGAACCTGAACTACAGGTTAAGTAGAGGGGAAAGAGATACGCTCTGTAGCCCTGCGTGTCCATGGAGGCGAGGAGAGGAGCACAGGCAGTGTTTATCGACGGGGCTGGTGAGAGCGCGCCGCATGTGGAAACGGCGAGGGTAATGAGCGCTGGGAGCTGGAGTGTAACTGAGAGGAACTGTCCTATCTCACGGCCACTGATTGTGGTGATCGTCTATCGAGTTCATCTAATGTCCTCATCCACAGACGCTAACCGCACGGTAACCGCAGACTTCTAAAGCTATAACAAGCTCGCTTCAATCTGGGAGAAAAGCTCAGCACTGTTTCCACTGCCACTTTTGTATCTTAATGTTTGGCAAAAAGGTGTTTGCTCCTAAATGACCTCAAGCTCTGTGAGAGTCTTTGAAAGGAAGGTTCATTGTGCTTGCTAGCAGTACAATTATCAGGATACCAGAAAAATAAATAGATAAATAAATAAATAAATATATATAAATAAATAAATGCTTTACCTACCAGGAACCATGCCTGCAAGAGTGGAGGTGGGGTAGCTGCCTTGTCCTGTGGGGGGGACATGGGGTGGGTAGCCAGGTAAAGTGGTGCTCGCCATTTCTCGACCTGCAGGTACAAGTATTTTTAGTATAGTATTGCACATTTTAGCTGAACAAAAATTCATTATATTAGTAAGACTAAGTCCCAATTATATAAAAAAAATCTAAGCTTTCTTAAAATGTAGATTGCATGCACAAAAAAGCATGTAATGTATTTAAGTGAAGGACCATTGTGAATAAAAAAGTTTTTTTTCTATGTTTTTGCAATGCACACCAACAAACAATAAATGCATAAACTGAAGTACAGAAGTGGCATCGATAACTGACATAAAGAAAGCTGATTTATTGCTGCAAAATTAAAATAGCTCACAATTCTTTCCAGGTTTCTGTAATGTGTCACCCATTTGTTTGAGTGGCACAACCAAAATGAAGGCTGAGCAGTGGAAATTGCCATCCTCAGCATCAGAATGTTATGTTCATAACATTTTTATCCATGAATACAGGAGAGAAAATGACAACAAATGAGTTACAACATGTTGTCATTAATATATTACGTCTATGTCTTCTTTTAAAAGGATTCCACTCTTCCCTGACCTCCGCCTCAAATGATAACCGGATTACATTTGTTGTTAAAGTAAAATAAATAAATGAAATGGGTCTTGCAGCAGTTTAATGTCATTTTGCCACAAAAATTGTTGATGCAAAAAATCTGTCTTCACATATTAAATCAGCTGATTTTTAGTAAATTGGTTCTTGAATTAATAAACTTACATTTTGTAATTCTTAAAAAAATAAATAAATACAAATCTGTAATTCGATATTTCTTTTTTTATTTGACTCAAATTTTAACTTCATCCAAATCAACATGCATAAATAAAACTCCTGGCTTTTGGTTTGGCCTGCAGAGCATCAAATTCATGGCAGCTTATTCCAACTCTATTGGATTGAATTTGTGTAAAACATTTGTATTATAAGTAATAGACTGCAACTTCACATTAGTTATTTAAGCTCAGCAGCTAAAACTGACAAGAACATTGTACCAGCGAAACTATCTCTGCACTCTGCTCCATATTCAGTCTTTTAATTAACAGTGGCAACACCGGGTCTGGGTAAGTAAGGGTGCCTTGGGTCCAAGCCAGACCCTGGCAACAGCTTCTATGCTTTTGCAGTCATCGCCAGCCCTCCACCCTTTTTGCACCCCCCCTGACCCCTCTGACTTTAAGCCTGTCACGAGGCTGGATGGACGAGAAGGTCTATTGTTAACCAAAGAGATGAGCAGGGGGTCAGATTTGGAGAGCATCTTTGCTGAGAGGAAAGATGCTCTCAGCAAAGCTTCTGATAATGAGGGCCGAACAGTCAGTTCAGCTCCTGTATCCACAACAATAGAGCCAAAAAGCAGCATGGGAAGGTGGCTGTTTTAATTTGGTGCAGAGCTGAGAATTGCTAAACGGGCAAAAGTGAGCACAGAGGTAAATCAACTGGACATTTTTCGTGTTTGTATTCGGCTATCGGGCCTCCTGGGTAAGGCTGTACCTGCTATAAAGGGTTGGCTGGCATACTGGCTGTAGCAGGGGCCGTGGGCATGGGGAAGGTAGCTGGGAGTGGAGGCATCTACAGAGAGGCTGGACTGGTGGGGTAAGATGTCAGCTAGAGCAGAATCCCCAACAGAGGAGGGGGTGAAGGGGGCAAAGGATGCCTCATGGGGCTCCCGCTTTACACACATGGAAGGCGGATATGACGGGTGAGAGTCTGGCAGGTGGAAAAGAAAAAGAAAAAAAAAGAAAAAACTTGATAGGATGCAGACAAACATTGCCACACATTCTGTACTTAAATTGAGTCAGTCACACATGTAAGATGAGATGTAGGTATGAAAAACACACAATAAGAGTATATTTTCTTATAATAGGTTTAAAAAGACTTTATATATTTCAGGAGTGAGGAATCTTAAATGAATACTGAACAGAAAAGCAGCATTTAGTGTCTGATTTGTTCATTTACATAGCTTATGATAATAATCTTACATGCGCCCCGAAGTAATTCACCCAACTGAGTGTAAACATACACCAGTGAAATGTTGCAGGAACACATCGTGCCTGATCAATCAAGCTCAAACGCATAAAAAATTTCCCCATGGTTTTGGGAAAACAAACAGCATAATCTCACGGCTGCTCTCTCACAGCAGAATAAGCAAACAATCAGCTTGCAGGCAGCTCAAAACATCAAGCGTTGATCTAATTCAGCTGATGAGTCCTGGCATCTTCCGGTTTTCATCCGGCTCTGCCTCTTGAACCTGTGCAATCAATGTGAGCTCTGTCTCTCTTCGGTCCCTCCACGCCGTGCAGCAGAGCCCTACTCTGTTTGCCGGGGCCTGAGATGGCTCTTTCGCCCCTCCCGACACCATGATAGCCTCATTAGCTGCTTCCCCCATCATTGTTGTTTTACAACAGGACTGTGTGTTGCGATTCCTCATTAAGATAAGGGCTGAAGAGGGATTTAACACTGTCAGCTCTCAAAAGCAAATGCACGAGAATCCAGCAACACAGCCCAGTGCTTTGTAGCAGCTTTTCCACAACCCTTTCATAGCTCTAAAAGTTCACTTGAACAGAAAAAAACCCAAACAAAAATAAAACAGACGACGGTTGACTACAGCTTAAGATTGGCTCATTAAAAATAGCTTATTTGAAATCAGGAGGAGTCATTTTAGGATTTAATTGGATAGAACATAACTTTGTCACATGCCAAATCCAAGTAGTATTTTCAGACATAATGGCAACAACCTGGTGCTTAACTTTGCCCTTCAGTTAATTATACCCACCATGCACTCTGTTAAGTCTTCAAAGTTATAACTCCTTTCCAAAGTCTTGTTACCCTGTAGGCTGATTGTAGCACAAAACATTCTCAGCTAAACATACAATAAAATTGCTACACAAGATTTGTGTCCCAAATTCCTGATTACTCCGAACTTCCTTTATAAAACATAAAAAGCCAGATAGAAAAGTAAGGCAATGCGAAAATAGCATTAAAAAAGTCACTCTGACCACTTTAATGTTTGCTTCTTACACTCTTCGCTGACATGCTCTACAGGTTTTGTTTCAACTACACGTTTCCTACAGGAAGACCAAGAGGAAGGTGATGCACTGCCTCCAAATCACCACATTAGTATGACGGTGCTTCCATCTAAAACTATGCACATTTAACAGCTGCTTGAATATTCACAAAAAATATTTACATAACCACTGACATTTCTAAGATTTCAGTTGTTTAAGAAGTTAGTCCATTTTGTTCTTGGCCTCCCATTGGACTAAATAGTAGCATCATTCTGATCGGCCACCTAATCAGAATTCATATTAAAAGAAAATATTGCAGACATGGTATTAACTGCTTACAACGGAGAACATATTTACAACCAAATTATGACAAGATTGAACTTAAAAGGGAAATGAGATTAAAATGACTTTAATGTTGCTTTGCAAATTATCACGTGGAAGAGGCAGCTTTCAGGCAACTTGTTTAGTGAAGTATTGCATCAGCTTGTTGGTGGCTCAGGATGCATTTGTTTGCACTCCATTCGAGATCTCCAGCGTTTTCTACTGTTCCCTTCTGTTTTCTCAGCACCTGGGCAACCGTTGTGAAACATTCGGTTGTTACGGAGCGTCAACAACTGATACAAATGCTGCGTTCAAGACCACTGAACTCTGAATCTAATCAGACATGGTGCTGCTTATTGTCCTGGAGACGAGGCAGCACCCGGGGAAAAAAAGGAAGGCTGTCAAATCCCGGGGCCTGATGATGGAGATGGAAGATAAACTTGGAGTCCATGGGGACCTTTTTCCCCCTGCAAACACATCTCTGCAAGAGGGGAGAATGGTATAGAGTTCTCCAACATCTGTCTCTGCTCGACCACTGATACCACATCTACAGACCCCATCAACCATAGAAATAAACTGTTAGGAAACCCGTACCAATCCTCGGAGAGGCGCTTTCAGACACAGCAACAACTGTCTACTCTCAAGTGGGCGTCTTAGTTTTAAATGTACATAGAGGAACTTTGGTGTACATTGGTTGCGAGGGCAAAAAGTTTCCATCCCTTTGAGTAAAACTTCCAGTGGGTGAATTCACCAAACAGCAGTTCACAAATGTGCTTTTGCTCACTGTTTATGTGGTGAGTTATGGCTATTTACACCAAAAAGTTGAACGTTGCATCCATTTTTCGTTGAGCATAGACCATTTGCAGACTCAAATGCCCTCACAGTCCACAATTTTAACATAATTCATTATCAAATGTGTGCTTAAAGATTAGCGTGAGTATTAAGGGAGGAGGGGGGAGGAAAGAATTAATTTCCAAGCTTGGGGCTGCAGCCGTTAACTGAGCAGCGACGAACCATTTGTCACCAGGCCACACACCAGGCTCTGCAGGTCAGGTAGCTGCGTATTGTTTGCAACTCAGCACAAAAAAAAAAAAAAAAAGCTGGTGCTGCCAAGTCATAAAAAAGGAGCCTCTATTCGTTTGTGTATGTGTGCAACTGAAATGTCCTCTAAAGTAAAGCACTCAGCTCTTTCAGATGATTGGGTTTATTGTTTGTCACCCGGTGTGGGTGCGAAGTGAATGCAAAAAAAAAAAAAGACAAAAAAAGAAATGTAAAACTACCAGCTTTATTTTTAACATCTGCTGGAGTTCACAGGGGTGCCCATTTGCACCTCAGCCTCCTGGAAGGCTCTGCTGAGAATGATTATCTAACCCAGCTTGCACCTCACTAAACTCTCATTAATTCTATTCCTGTCAACTCAGAAAAAAAGTGTCTTAAAATGCTGTTTGTTCCAGGTACTAAATTCTTGAATGGCTTATGAAAAACACAACCACATTTAAACATGGGCAGAGAATCTGTGATGCTAAGGGCCTTTTTCCTTCTCAAATGTCCTGGGAATCCTGTTAGAGTTCATTGCAACATCAACTTATCACAATACTGAAAGGTATAAAATGTGGCTTATTTAACAAGTTAAAAGAAAATAAGGTGGATAATGAGTTTTTCAACACAATGATAATTGGAAACAGGAAGGTTAATTTGCACAGAAATGATTCCAAACACTTATTTCTTCATTCTCTAGATCTGGGGAATATAGAGAAATAGTGCAAAGAGAATGAGCCAAGATCCCGCCATCTAAATGCAGCTTTGTGAAATGTTATGGTAGACGATTAAGTGTTGTCCTGATGTCCTTGTTCAAAGCATTGAGGCAGCCAAGTATTCCACCGTATATTTTTACTTAAAATAATGCAAAAATACATTAATTTATAATAAGGCCTTTTACACATATGTAAAATACACTGTATTTGAATATTTTATTAATTGGATTAATTTACTAAAGTGCAATGTTTTTTCATTATTAGCTAATATATTGCATATTTTTAATAATCCTCCTAAATGCCATCTCTCTCTCTCTCTCTCTCTCTCTCTCTGTGTGTGTGTGTGTGTGTGTGGTGTGTGTGTGTGTGTGTGTGTGTGTGTGTGTGTGTGTGTGTGTGTGTGTGTGTGTGTGTGCTAACTAACTCTGTGACATTGCTGCCATCCTTCCTCCAAATAAACAGCATCATTTGACCCGGTAGGGTAAACAGAGGACACAAAAGATGGCCAACTTTGCTTTCTCTATGGTGGCCCCTGGAATGCAAAACTAAGCAGTTCATTAATCATTCATCTTTAATAGATTATGCAAATTCCAGGACATAAAAATCAACAAGATCAATAATGGTATGCATTTTAATTGGAAGCAGAAAACATTTAAGGAATGAATATAATCTCACAGCTCCATCCAGTATGAAAGCATAATTTATTGATAATTGGATTCCAGCCTAAGTGAGGAAGGTAATTTAGCAGTTTCTCAGCCTTGGCATACATTCCTATTTACAGGGTTTGCTAATGGCATAAAAAAAAATAATAATATCGTGCACTAACAACCTACACACTGCTTCATGGGGTCCTTTGCGTCATTGAAGTGATAAAGTTTACTGGATATTACTTGTGAGTTTAATTTTGTTTGTGTTCAGAGCTCTCATATACATTTTTTTTAATTAAATGGCTGCACTGATATGTTCTGTCAAATTGCACTTTTCGAAAAGTTTTGCCTTCTCTTAATGCAACCTCTCTCCCTCAGAGACATTGCTTTTGGAGGCGCCAGGCCCCCAGGTGGATTTGAAGGCCACCTGCTATGAGTTTGCTCCCCAGAGCGAGACCGCTTTCATAGGCGGAGCCCCGCATAAAAGACAAAAACACACCTTTCTTCTCCTGAGGCCCAACTTTCCCGGGCAAAGCTACCTCCCACATGTTCAGGAGTAAAAAGGGGGTCTTTCTTTTCCCATCACTCCATGCCCAAGACGGGGGCCAGAGTAGAGGGATCATATGAGATGGGCGACTGCAGTTTTTCAATCATGCTGTCCTCTTTCCTGACCAGCTCACACATATACACGCATACACGCACACGCACACGCGCACAGACGCTGACTTTGATTCCCATTGCACTGTTGTGGGACTTTTATTAAAACCCTCGCGTATTTAGAGAGTCAGTGTGGCCCTCAGTAAACTTAACCTCTCCTGGGAGAGAGCTTCGGCCGTCACAATAAAGCAATATGGCAATTATCCAGGTGGCTTATCAGCCTGGACCGCAGAGCTAAAGAAGCCATACAGCAACACAGATGTTACAAAAATATCTGATTCCCTGCACCTACATGCCTGCTGGCTCTCAGAGGAAGGTAAAAGTGAAAACTTTCCATCAGTTTGAAGAAAAAAACAAACAAATCTTTGCTTTTTGCCATATTACTTATGTGACTGTCTGTGGTTGTAGCAAGCTAGCCCGCCACAGTCCTATTCTAGAAGCTGTCAGTCAAAGCGATATGATAGTCTTTGATGGCAGTTCGAGGACAGCAGCTGTCTGTCCTGAGAAACACTCACAGTCAATCTGTTAGCAAGCCATTCTGGGCAAACAGCAGCCAGTTAGGAGGCTAGAAGCAGTAATTGTGAAAAACCTGTAGGATCTATTGGCCTCAGGCAGTGAATCACCTCATTCTGTACCTCAAAGATAAACACAAAATGCTTCGCAAAGTGTGTTGAGAGAGATTTTTCACGAAGTAGTATTAAAAAATGTGTCTGAAGAATTATAAATTTGTAATTTGTACATTAACTGCAGTGTCTTGCAAAACACCTTCCATAATTTAATTTTACAACCACAGAGTTGTTGCAATTTTATATTATATAACAAGACAAAATAGTGCCTAAGTATCAAGTGGAAGGAAAATAATTTTCGACTTTCAAAAATATTTGTAAAGTGTCATGTTTTTACCTCTGTTCCCAGCATGCCACCACCATGTTTTGTTGTGGAAATGGTTTGTTCAGGTTGATATAGCTTTGTACCACACTTAGCATTTTGCACAACAGGCAGAGAATAATATAAGTTCATCTGACCACAGCCTCTTATTTCCCACATCTTTTCTGTCTCCTACATGACTGTAAACTGCAAACTGAAAAATGTATGTCTTCCTTTTAACAATAGAAAATCTCTTGCAGATCCACCATAAAGCACAGATTTATGGAGTGCAATACTAATTTCCATGTTGGCAAAGTCTCCTACCTGAGCAGCAAATATCAGTAGCTCCTCCTAGGTTACTAATGGGCTCTTGGCAATTTGTTGGGTATATCTTTACACCCAGGTAGCTGGAGAAATGACAACTTGATATCTGACTTTTATGCCTTGCCAAAGCACCTTACACTTAATATATATATTTTAATAACGGTGGATGCCTCTGCAATTCTAACAATTAGTAGCAAAATTCCTACTACAACTCTCACTATAAAGATTGTCCTCATAAGTGCTGCTGTTGTATAATATTGATATGTCCAACGTTTAGAGTATTATTACATAACCTAAATCTTGTTTAGGGTGGTGGAGCCAGTAGTACAAAATCTTCCTAAAACCAGCGGATTGCCAGTTCTGTCTGTCTCGGTCGTTGAGTCCTTGGTTAAAATACTTCACCCGTCTTGCCCACTGGTGGGGGTCAGAGGTCCCAGAGGCGCCTCTGCATGGCAGCCTCACTTCTGTCAGACTACCCCAGGGCAACTGTGGCTACAATGTCGCTCACCACCATCAGTGTATAAATGTGTGCGAAAGGGTGAATGGCTGACTGCAGCGCAAAGAGCTTTGGGGTCCTCTGGACTAGATAATGTGCTTTACAAGTACAGGTCATTTGCCATGTTTCCCCTTAACGGTCATGAAGATCCCAGTGTCCTCATGTACCCTTTGGATAACATGGAAGCATTTTCTGCATGGCAGTTAAGGGGTTAAACTTCTCCACAACTTTGACCCTGACCGTTCCAGTGAAATTCTTTGTCTAAATGATGTTATTTGTTCACTATTTGTTTCCATCAAACTGCAGAGGCCCTCACAGGTTGAATTATACACAAGTCATTATTGACTTTTGCTTGGAGTAAAGGAGTTGGCTACAAATGCATGGCAGACCTTTCCCATTTTAAAGTGTCATATTCTTTTCATTTTACAACTATGCAACATTTTGTGTTGGTCGACCACTTTTTATTCCGTGTAAAATATTTGGAATTTTTTTTCCTAATGTGACAAAAATGCACACGGATTTAAAGAGAATAAACACTTTTTGCAAGGCAAGGAAAAATAAAAGATCATATGTTTTTTCTTTTTCAAAATTTGGGGTGTGAAAGTAGAACCCTCCAAAAAGTGGAAAACAACAGTGTGTCCAGCATCTTGGATTCTGCCAATGCTTCTTTAAATTTCACAGAGCTTTTTTATACCATGCTTATATATCTTTTCCATAGGAACTCTGGGAAGCTAGACTGGTCAATGGAGTCAAGGGAGGAGTTTTTAGGAAGCTAAAAGCACACAGAAGACATTGTTCTGCTGTGTTCCTCTCACTGACTGAGCTGACCACCTCGGTGTAAGTGTCTTTCACTGCTGCACCTGCGCGCATTCTTTTAAGGCCCAGTGCAGCATGAATCAGATTGTACCTGTCACAACAGAATAGCTCTGCGAGACACTGGAAGCGAGGTCGGAGCTGGCACTGGTGGAGAGGCTGGGCTTCACATCTTCCAGGCTGGCATTCAGGGATGGGAGGGAGTACTCATTCGCCTGCAGACAAACAAACACACACATGAGCAGGTGGCAATCAAAGACATGCAGCTCATTCGGCCTTCATTTAATTTCACATTCCACCAGATCGGGTCGCGATCTGATTAATATCGCTCATGCCCTGCCCACAGGCTCATTCTAGATGCCAGACTCGCAGCAGATATCCCAGTTTAGGTGACGTTACAGAGAATATGATTGAGTGACACCTCCTGGTGTAGCTTGGATTCTCTCACACAGGATATTTCCTGCAAATTCCATGAACATCAGCCCTGCCCGTGCTCCCCTTGCTTCACCGAGACCTGTGATGATGTATGCATGCATTAGGGCTTGTCTGAGAAGATGGCAGAGAGGGAGAGAGGGATGAGAGAAGGATTGGAAGAGGAGTGAAAGGACAGGGTGTCAGCTGGCTCTTTGTGCTCCACTGCAGTCATCCCTGTGACCAGTCAAGGGAGGAGACATTCAGGGCTTTGTTACAGGAGAGACATGTGGTGTTTTTTTTTTTTTTTTATCTTTTCTTTAAAAAAAAAAGAGGAAAAAAAATATGGGGTTGTACAAACTCAAATTCTGCCTTTGTGCCTTACTTTCAGAAAAAACTCATGAAAAGCGGATTTTAAATTTTTCATTTTAGGTTTTAGGTTTCTTTAGGTTTCATGATTTTTTTAGTATTACTTTTATTTGCTTTCTATTGGAAGCATTTTATCTCAGCTGCCACAAAACCCATCTTTTGCATTTTACAAATCTCATTATGTCTCAGTACTGTGATACATATTGGTGTGATCATATAATCTCTTGTTTTGTACCCCTTAATCTCTGCTGAAGACTCTGTTTGCAGTTGAGATGAATCCTGTTTGTTAATGAGATGACATTTCCTGACCCAGTTCTTCTTTGAAAGGATAAGAGTCTGCGAGTTTTTGTGTCAGAGAGTGTGTGTGTGCATCCGTTTGTCTCAAAGGGTTGGGTTTGGGGCTGGGTGGGGGTGTATGGGGTCCCAGAGGAGCAAGCTGGTGACCCCAGTCTTGTCTGCTTCTATCGCAGATAAACTCTAATTGTCTGCTTACAACTGTTCCCTGGCACTAGGCTGGATGTTCCTCTGTGTCCCGTTGGGCTTCAGCCGCACAAGAGCCATTTTGTCATGCAGATGGGATGTGGGTAGGGGCTGAGCAGGGGCTGGGCGGAGGGCGAGTGTCGAGCGCAGAGGGGCCTGAATGACCTGACCACATGGCTGCCAGAAGTGTGGGAGGGATGAGGCCTATTCAGCCTGGCCTCTTCAAAATGGCTTTTTAATGCCCTGACGCAGACACCAGACAAGCCCCTAATAGCCTAATATCCCACCTTTTCACTAGTTTAAGAAAAGGAGGGGGTGTTGGAAACAGGCAGAAAAAGGAGGTGCATGGAGAGAGTGGAAAACAGGCTGATTAATATTACATTAAATTAAAACTGATTTTTCTGGACCATTCTGACGCCGTTTTTCACCCCCTTCCCTCAGCCCCCGTCTCGCCTTTTTAATACCTTCTCCTCCACTCTTTGTGATTGCAAGTCATTTCCAATTCGTTTTGGTATTGATCTTGCCGTAGAAATCACTTTGGTAATTAGCTGCATTAGGGGCTGTAAAGCAGGCTGAGGGGCTGTCCCTCTGATTTATCGCCGCTGTAATTCCCCACGATCGCACAGAGATGAAAATGAACTCAATTAAGCCACAGCTAAGGCTGTGTGGGCACCCAGATAGAGTTCCAATGGAAAAATTAATAGTCGCGTGTTGTTTAACAGTATAATGAATGTAAATAAAGCTTATCCTCTGTAATAGGTTGTAGGTTTCAAGACTACTTTTAGGCTCCAGTTTACCAGTTTGCAGTAGAAGGTAATGTCACTTTTCAACCAACCAAGGAAAATAGTTTCCACATATTTTGACCAAAAACAAATATGTTTGGAGCAGAAAGTGTTGGCGTATGTGGAGAAACTTAAACCATATAAATCAGAAGTAGCTAACATAACATGACTTGGCTTGGAAGCAGGTAAAGCCTCAGAAAAGTGCATCTTAAAGGTTTTAGTGTCATTTTTGACATCTGTAGATTTTTGTAGAGAGAAAAAAGAATAAGATGAAAGACTCTAGACTGAAAACCTAATTAAATGTAAAACTCAGAGTTAGGCCAGTTGTTGGAATGGATTTGCTACAGTGGAATCTAGGAAAAAATTGGCCACAGTCTAATGACTATGACCCAATGTTTAAGCCTTTTCTGAATAACCGGTGGTGGATATCCAGGGCATCTCTCCCAGTTCAAAGTCCCAGCTGCCACTGGTTCAAGCATTTATGAAAAAAATTCAAGTCTTTGTCAGATATTCTTGAGAGATTTAAGACTGAATGACAATCATATGTAAAAATATCATGGTGTAATGGGTTTGCAGTTTGAAAACAAATGCGTGACATGAGCTCATTGCTTTAATTTCAAATCTTAAAGGAATAGGTATTCATACTGTGCCCACAATAACTTTTATAAACTGAATGATAGTGAAATAAAGTGAAATAAGGCAGCAAAACATAAAATAAGCCTATGCGAAATTTGTCTGCAGTTTCTACATGTTCTTTGCACAGAAAGTTAGCTGATTTTAGCTGGAGAATTAGGCAGACTATATTCTCTGGTAAAGCCAGCAGCTTTAAAACAGTCTTAGCTGTAATAATAGAAGTGACGTGTTTCACTCCTTATGATGGACATGTTATTTCAATTTTAGAAGAATTTCCAATGAAATAAACTTGTCTCTGTCTTAAATATTGTGTGGCTGCTTCCTTTCAGGCAACAGACTGGTGGATCACAGCTACAGGTGGGGGACAGGAAGATTTCTATTGTTCTTTGTCACACAGAACAAGAGAAAATACAAGAATGAATTTGGCATTGTTTATGGCATCTGAAACTTTCTTAAAATTTTATTAAAACTGGAATCCTTAAATTGTTGTAAAAACATTTTATAACCTATGTAATATATTTTTTCACACCAGCCTGTGCCCACCTCTAATCTTTGGTCTTCCTGGACGTTCTCTTCAATTTGGAAAATGAAGGTAACATCATGGATCAGAAAGGGAAAAATCTTTACTTTCCGATGCATGATGATGGAAAGTAAAGGTTTCCGTCATGGATGGCATTTAAGCTGTCCGATTTGACAGCTCAAATGCCGACCTCAAATAATCAAAAATAAAAACATTCACTTAGAAAGTAGAAAGTGACAAACCTGCTCTGGTTTGATGTGTTCTGATGTGGGGAAGACATCAGGGTAAGACGGCCGTTCGAACACGCGATCCAGGGCTTCCAGCTGTTGCTGGGTGAAGGCGTCTGCTCGCAGATGTTTCCTTAAACTCTCCACACTGCCCTGCGAGTCACTGCCAGGGCCTGAGCCATCTGAGCCATCTAAAGAAAGAAGAGGGGGAGGAAGTGGACCAACGGGAAACATTACCAGTTTATTCACAGGGGATTACTTTAAATAAACCATTTCTTTTATTGTGGTATATAGAAATCAGTTAGAGACAGATTAGTCAGAAACTTGCAAATCCAATATATTTCCAATTAGTGAACCCACCATGCTCACTAATATAAAACGCTATGTCCTGCTGATAACAACACTCTTCACTGTGAACACTGTTACTAAGTGAGAAAATCCAGGTTAGCTATCCACCAAGGCCTCCATTTGTATACTCACTACTGTGGAGAGGGCTGATGGTTATCTCCAGACATCATTGGTGTGAGGTGGGCAACACCCTGAATAGATTATTTTATGTATGATTGAGGAATGTGATTTTTTTGTGGTGCTAATTACCTTTATTTATTAGTTGTGAGACAGAAAGAAGGGCAGAGAGAGAGAATGGGAAGTCTTGCCGAGGGGTGGAAATCAAACCGGGGAATAACTGTGATGACGACTCTACTCACTTCATTTGGTGCACCTGCTCTACCCCACATGGTGATTACAAAAAGGTGATTAAACTTAAGTCTGAGGAGGCACAGCGATTCGAGAACAGCTGTTTAAAAGGGACATATTTTACAGGTCATGTTGAGACCTGAATGAACTCTTTGGATCATTCAGGTTGTGAGAGATGGCGAGGAATGCTGGTAGCCTTTTTGTAAATCTCATAGTTTATGTGAGGATGGAGAGACGTCTGTTTCTGTGATGTTAGACATGCTAATCCTGCTACTCCACAAAGAAGTATGGTAAAGACATATTAAGATATTAACTCTGTATTCATCTTGTTTTTATTTTTTTAATTAACCATAAAACAGGGTTTTACTGTGACTAAGACAGCAGGATGATGTTGCCTCAGCTGACAGAGTGGCTAAAGAAACATATTGAGTGCTGTTTTTCTATCTTCGTATATCATGGTTTTGGCAGAGAAATCTGACTAAGCTAAAAGAGACTTGAGCAGGTCAAAGATGCAAAATGCAAAGTTAAAAAACTCAGATTGGTCTAAATTTTCTTAGTTTCACCAGACTGAGAGGGGTGGCTGGGAAAACTGTCATCTCTCTCTTTGTTTTTCAGTTACTTTCACTTGCTCTCTAAACACCCGCTCAAGCTGCACCCCCCCAGTGCCCTACAATCCCACCATCAGCACGGTCATCATCTGATAGGTCTGTGGTAATTGATGGATTACCTTTAGTGCAAATATATACTTGTAAGGGAGAGCGCGTTTCAGGAGAGAAAAGTAGGACTGCCGATTACATACAGAGCCTCTCATTCTGCCACTGGGAAATAGAGAGCCATTATTTAACTGAACTATTTCCTCCTGAACATATTACCCACACCTCTTCTCTCTTTCCATCCCCCCACATATTGCCTGTCTTTTGGAAAGCAGAACAGAGCGGGGATGCAACATTCAGGCACCGAATGAGGAAGGGGCGTTGAGGGCAAGCGTATGCATTTCCTCACTTGGTCACACACTATATAAACAAATGAGCCTATGCTTTCCTGGTTCCTCTGATCTCTGACCTTATCAACCCAAGCAGCGAGCCTGCTGCCACTGCTGCACTTCTCCCTCTGCTCACTCATCATGTCCTGAGCTCTGAACGAAGATGAAGAAAAAAAAATATATTAAGCTAAAAACCTCCAGCCCAGTATTCCAGGAACCTGCACTCTCCTGGCTGCCGCCCACCACCCTCCCTTTCCTTCTCACACTGCGCCACCAACAGCGGATGAGGGCTTCAGCTCCCGTACAAATCTGTCATTCTAAATTTGCAGCAGATTATGTTCTCTCCTGGGCGAGGCAGCGGTGATATATGATATGCAAGGCCGCTATTGATTGCCTGATCCGCTCGCAGAGGAGGGAGGCGAAATGAACTTGGAATGAACATCATGCCTCAACTCATTGTGCGTATAATACTCTACTTAATCCCACATTTTTCTGTGCTATGGAATTCAATTGATCAATCATGTTCCACTGATGGTACCATTTCAGGGGCGTTATTGCCATTCTGCTCGGCTGCTTGACCTTTTTTCAATGGCTGAGGCCAGAGGATGAACCCGATTCGCTCCGAGAAATAGATCCATTGAGAGAATGGAATAGAGGACGGCAATTGGGAATGACTGGAGTGTAGATCAGAGTACTGCAGCTAAAATACAGTACTTTGACTTTATCCTTGGGTAACATTGATAGAGGAATAGCGTTTTTCCTACAATGCGTGTTTTTCCAACCATGAATTAACAACATATTTTAGCTCTTTTCCATTTCCCAACCGCTCTCCGAGAAGGAGCGCGGCGGTGTTGCTAAATGAAACTAAGCAGTCGTCTCCGGCACGGAGGGAAACAGAGAGTAATGACGTAGTTCAGGATTTCTGAAGTGAGGCTCTCTGAGAAGGTCATTAGCAGTTAATATCTTACCTGCAGCAGATAGCTCTTACAGCTCTTTACTTAGAATACATTTAAATAAGATAGAAATAGGGAGAGAGTGCAAGATGGATCAAGACCAAAAGAACCTTCTATGGGCTTAAACAAGCCCCAACAAAAAACTGTGTCAAAATTATTGATAGGAAAGCCTTTTATTTTTTCAATGAGAAAAAGGAGGTGGGGGTGTACCACCAGTGACCTTCCTGAGTGCAATAAGTGCTAAAGACAAACCATGCATACCATTTCTGATCCGTAAAACCCCCCATAAATATTTAGTTTTTTGGATCAAGTGAAGAGATTGATTTTTACACTGGCTTACTTTTTTCTATTATAAACTTCTACATGGATATCATTTTGCCTTGTTTCCACTGATGGGTACAGCACGGGTCAGTGCGGTTAAGTAGGCTGTTTTGTCTGTTTCCATTGTAAAAGCAGTCTATTCAGCTGACCCATAATGCACCATTCATGGTCCCCGTTCTATTATGGATCCATAGGACAATGGTTCAGTTTGGTTAGAGTGGAGCTACCAGCAATACATAACACAGATTGGGAGAAAGAAATGTGCCATTGATTATGACAAGGCTGAGACATACTAGTTTGTTAGAATGTGGGTTTAACCCCACCTGATCAGTGAGAGTCCAGCTGCCAGCGGAGACGGTCTCCTCAATATGTTGTACCATAAGCTAGCGTACTGAACTACATCAACCATACCCCTCAGTGGAAATGAGCCATTGCAGTATCTTTGCAGTATCTTTTCTTTGCACATTTCACTTAGAAAGATAATTTGAGGTTCATAGGCTCTTACCTTCTGTTGCTTTTTAAATAATCACTGGCTTCTCTGTAGCATAAATTGCTAAAGCTAAAACCTTTTTGAGACTAAAGTTGTTTTAAGACAGTAGAGGTCCAAGGTGTTGACACCTCTTGGGTTAGCAATAAGCTACCGTGTCTGAAACCAAGTAATTTACAAGACACAAATGTTATTTTATGGCTCTTCAACCTTTCAACCTCATCTATTGGGCTGATATTTACAGATAATTAGTTGATTAGTTACACAGAAGAAGATGCTAAAATGGCTCCCCACTGATCACCGTCCTGTGAAACCAAGACACGTCAAATGTTTATTGATCTAATAGCGAGGCACTGTAAACAATCAATAATCTATCGTTCCCCAAAACTGCTATTTTTGCTTTTTACACTGTGTCCAGAAAATATTTACATGATTTTCTCCGCATCTTTTTCACAAAAGAAAATCAATGGCATCCCACTGTCCCCTACTTCCACTTCCCAGTGAGGCAATTTTTAGGTTATCTATAAATATTGTGACTTTGCTTTAAAATTCAAAAAATTTATCTGAATAAATAGCTAGAACAGATTTTTACCTTTTTAGCTTTTTAGGGTGGTTGAAGTGAAAACCCTAGCTTCAGTCATCAGAACCAACTAATCTGGATTCATACCAAGTCAAGATGCAACTAGAGTGATACAAGAAAGGTCTTTTAATGGTAGTTCACTTCACAAATTGTGAAATATTAACTCTATATTTATTGGTATGAGTCAACTGTAATCAGTAGGCAATGTTTATTATTCATAAGCAGCAATTTTCTCCAAGCTTTTGATTTACTTTGGTGCCCTCTCTGTGATATAAACATGTGCAGCACTATATAATATCTATAAAAGTTAATTTAGGAATCTACCATTTTACTCGTACACCATTATTTGAATTAGCTAATCATTAATTCCAGCTCTTTTTTTTTTACACTATTTAAAACTTGGCTGCACAGTGGAGCAGTAGGAAGGTCCTGGGTTTTCTACATGGAGTTTGCGTGTTCGCCCCGTGCATGTGTGGGTTCTCTCCGGGTACTCCGGCTTCCTCCCGCAGTCAAAAACATGACTGTTAGGTTAATTGGTCTCTCTAATTTCTCCCTACATGTGAGCGTGTGTGTGTGTGTGCGTGTGCGTGTGCGTGTCCATGGTTGTTTGTCCATGGTTGTTGCCCTGTGATGGACTGGAGACCTGTCCAGGGTGTACCCCGCCTCTTGCCCGACATGTCTAGCTGGAAATGGGCACCAGCACCCATCCCAACCCCACTAGGGACAAGGGTGGAAAGAAAATGGATGGATAGATATTTAAAACTTAAGCAAATATAAGCAACGTACAGATTTTCCATTTTATTTCCGAATCCAAGCTTTAATGCTTCTAAAATTGGTCATAAAAGATTTCTGTTTTACATATATTATGATATAGGTAAAATAAATCAGATCCATCTTTTGACAGTCACTGTGTCAAGTGGAGTGTGAAGTCTGCCTGTCAGATTGCGTCTGCGGGCGTGTGTGTGTGTGTATTACTGTCTCATTGGTTGGCTTGTTTCATTTTCTTCTAGTGTTTCTTCAACCCCTTCGGGTGTCTCAGCAGGTATTCTCTTATCACTCCCAAAGCACCAGCTGACTGCATCCCTTTGTTTTAACACTGCCGTGTGAGGAGATAAAAACAAGAATCTCCCACAGTGACGCTCACACGTTTTAGATCCGGAACACGGTTTCTT